GGTTGCTTACTGACGCTTTGTTGGACGCTCAACCAGCCAGCCTCTGCTGCCTCTCATTCCAAGGAAATCATTCTGATTTTATTTTTGTTGATTTTTTGTTGTTTTTGTAAACAACTTTGAGTCAATTAATATATTATTTGTCCTCCTATAACAGTTTCCTCCAGTCAAACTTTTTAAGCTATGAGTATGCCTATGCGTTCCCCACCACTCCTGCTGCAAGGAAATGCATAATTTTATTATTGTGAATATGTTCTTTTGAATGTATTTTTAATATAATATAGGTTTAAGGAGGTTTAATTAGTAGTCTAATGGCCGTGATCCCGGTTAGTGGGTTACTGCCAGCCGTCCAGCCAGCTGCCAGTTTAATGACTCTTACTGCAACTAAATTAATTGTTTTATTATTATTAATGTATTCTTATGAATGTACTCTTTTATATCATAGGTGTATAAGGGAGGTTTATCCTGAATAAAGGAGACAAATGGCCGTAATCCCGACTGGTGGGTCTGACGCTTCTCTGGCCGCTCAGTCCAGCCAGTGGCAATTGAGCTCTAATTTTGACGAGTTCTCTACCACTCTAGCTGCAAGGAAATGCATTACTATTATTATTATTATAAATATATTCTCATTAATCTATTCTTTAAGATCATATACGGTTTAGGGGGTTTTATTCTGTGCACATTATCGTGATCCCGACTGGTGGGTTGCCTTCTCTTCAGTCTAGCCAGCTGCTATTGAGCTGCGAGTTTAACGCGTTCCATATGACTCTCACTACAGTTTAATTCATTGTTTTATTATTATTAATGCATTCGTGTGAATCTATTATTTTATACGATTGACGTTTAAGGAAGATTCATCCCGTCATATAAAATGCCAACCACTGGCAAGAATAAAGCTGTCAAATTGCTGTGATCCCGACTGGTGGGTTACTGACGCTTCGCTGGCCGCTCATCCAGCCAGTCACTGTTAAACTTTTAAAAGATTAACGCGTTCTACCACTCCCGTTGCAAGAAAATAAATAATTGTATTATTATGTATAGGCTATATTCATATGAATCTATCATTTTATATGATATACGTTTTAGGGAGGTTTATCACAAATAAAGTGTTCAAATGGCCGTGATCCAGACTGGCTGGTTATTGCCGCTTGCACTGTCTGCTCAATCGGCCAGCCGCAAGAGCCCTCTGAGTTTAACGCGTTCCCTACCACTGTCTCTGCAATTAACTATATTATTTTATGATTATGAATTCATTCTTATGGGTCTGTTCTTTTACATGATCGATATTTTAGGGAGGTTTATCACAAATAAAGTGTTCAAATGGCCGTGATCCAGACTGGCTGGTTATTGCCGCTTGCACTGTCTGCTCAATCGGCCAGCCGCAAGAGCCCTCTGAGTTTAACGCGTTCCCTACCACTGTCTCTGCAATTAACTATATTATTTTATGATTATTAATATATTATTATAAGTCTAGTCTTTTAAACTGTGGACATTTTAGGGAGGTTTATCACAAATAAAGTGTTCAAATGACCGTGATCCGGACTGGTGGGTTACTGCCGCTTCAGTGCAGCCAGTCACTTTCAGCTCCGAATTGAACGGGTTCCATATCACTCCATAAAACATCGAATATGTAAAAGAATAAAGTCATATGAACAGATGTACAATAAAAAAATTATATTATTATTCCCGTATAGAGTGGAAGGAGAGCAACATAAATCTGCCATAAATCAATGGTTCCTGACAGTGGACTTCCAGCCGCCAGGCAGCCAACCACTGGCAGATCACGTGACCTGCCAGAATCAGGCTGCCAATGGTCACTGGTGCTGCCAATCAGTTAGGGATTGAACCCCTAATGGAGAG